TCGCCGCCACCACCGCCACCATCGCCGCCGCCGCCGCCACCACCGCCGCCGCCGCCGCCGCCACCGCCGCCTCCGCGCATCGGTATTACACTGGGTTACGTATATACCCGAAGATATACCAACCCAGAAAACCATACGAATTCATCGGACTATGTCGGACATCGAGCTCTCTCTTATCAATTCTATCCTCAGGCGCAGATTCACCCCTATTCACATTAGCCTGCAGATATATAATCCTAATGAAGTATAATGAGTTGACTCGACTCAGTTCTGAAGATCTAGAAAATCATTTCTTATCTGAATATCGCTGTACTTTTTCTTACATATTAATGGTAACCTTGTTGTTCGCACAAGAACGTTCGACTCAAGGATACACCAGCTGAAAGGTCTGGTTACGCAAAGCACGCAACTAGCAAGTGGTACCTCGTCAGGTCGCATACATGAGATATTTCTTTCACGTACGTGGACGGAAGCAACACACACGTGGCGAGCTCTATGTGCGAACGCACACGAGAGTGCCGATGGATGACCAAGCGGCTTACTGGACACGAATGCGCGCGTGACAAGGGACGAAGGGAGAGAAGCAAACGGCCGGAGAAAGGAGGAGGATGGGGAATTCGTATGAGGGGGACTTTGAAGATAGAACGAGCGGGCTCTACTTTCCCCCTGGGACGTCGGAATATCAAAGTTCGGCTCGCATAAGCCGCAGAAACATGCGGGCTGATTCTCATGGACCATCGTTCTGGTGCCATCGAAGATTAAATCGATCGTACCGTCGACCGTAATATTTTTATTGCGATAATTTAATTGCTTTATCGATGAATTTTGACTATATCTTCACTTGATAATTTCCATTTGTATCCGTGTTCGATAAACTTTTTTTTATTCTTTTCGTGTTTTGTTTTTAAGAGTATTGTTTATGCTTTTATGTAACGCACTCGTATCGCGATATACCGGAAAAATTCTATTCATATAGGAACGCACATAAAGGTTTTGTAATATTGCAAATGTATATGTATGTGTACACGCGCGCGCACACGCGCGACACACACACACACACACACACACACACACACACACACACACATATACCTGTAATATTTGTATAATAAAACATGTAAAAAATTAAGAAGTTCCTGATTAATTCGCTGAGGACTTTCATTTTGGATTTACAGACAATTATTAAAATTTAACAAATTGTAAAGCTTATTTAATAGACTAAAAGACCTGTCTAAAACTACTTTTATACTAAAATAATTCCACGAACTCTAAAAATGAATTCAATTTATTATTACCCTAATTTTAATGAATATTATTCTCAGAAAATTTTTATTTCAAAAGCTGACGTCTACTGTTTTCACATGAGACTGATGAGTTTAACACGAAATAATTTTGTTTGCAGTTTACTTTCTCGTGAAAGATTAATCTGCAAATGTTCAAAAATAATCTGAATAATTATCCATGAGAAATTACATAAACTGTTTCAAGAATATGAGATAAATATTACCTGTAAAAAGCGTATCTAATTAACTATTTCGGATTTTGTTTGTGCGAAAAGTAGAATATCCCGAAACATCCAAATATCGAGAAAATGCATACGACATACGATTGACAGCTATGCGTGATTCGGTTACGAATAAACGTAGACAAATAGAATATAACGCCTAAAAAGAAAATTTACTAAAAGTATCGTGTTTGCGGTATTAAAGCCGCGTGGGACGGACGGACATTTAATACCAACGCCAATTAAAAGTCCGATACTCGTCGCCAACTCATCCTGCCGTTTACAGAAACTTTCAAATTCTCATACTTCAAAACTGACGAGATCATTTTTCTCGCAGCTTCATGTCATTCGCGGACAAATTTGTCGCCAAATAAAAA